TATATATATATATATATATATATATATATATATATATACTTAAATATGCATTATTATTATTATAATTATTATATTTTTCATAAATTATACTTTTATTATAATTTGAAAATGCATCCTTTCATTCCATACAAATATAATTGTTGCTAGGGTGCAGCATGAGCGTGAGGACTTGTTCGTAGAAACGATGCGATGACATTCGTGTTTATAAGCTTTTTTTCTTTTAGGCTTTTTGTTATCTCTTAAGAGTATTAACGTGTCAAAAAAGTGTGATTTTTTTTTTCTTGAAAACTTAAATATGAACAGAAAAAATAATAATCTACTCATTTATTGTATCAATTATTTAAAGCTGATTATTTTGTATTACATCATGTTATCGAGAGGGCTGCCTGTGAGAGATGCTGTAATCACAAGCTGACTGTCATGACCTGACAGCAGGGCGGAGATTAACAGGCTTTTTAAAACTATTCTTCGATCAGCTTGAGCTTTGGCCAACACTGAGTGAGACGATAGAAACCACCATCAAGCCCCATCATGTTTGACTGATCTTTCCCACCGGATAACAACAACTGCTATCTGCAGAAATGTGCTGATCTAAACTCCTGTTGCTCTTGAACGCCCGAAGGTAAGCTTCGTTTTAGTTATGTGGCGATATCTTTGTTTACCAGTAGCTAAAACTGTTATTGCAGTCATTAGAAGTCAGCAGTTACTTCTGTGCAAATGTCACAAATGCAGTTTAAGGGCAAGTTTGTTGAGAAATAAATTTAACTTGTTTGACAATTGTCAAATAAAATTTTATTCCATCAGTTTGTGAATTGTGGTGAATTATGCTTATCCTTGTTTATTTTAATGATCGATTAATTATATTTTAATGTGCAGTAATTTTCAATAATATAGTATTTTGTGGTACCATTTTCTATTTATTAATGTGTAAATGTCCATATTTGCCGGTTTTCTTACTTGAAAACAGACAGTCATATTATATCAGACAACACTGATCTCCACAGAACAAAAGGCAATCAAGTGTATTTATTTATGTAATGTATTTCCATCCACCTAATAATAATGAAAAAGATATTCAAATAAGATATATCTGGGATGAAGCCCGTTCGTGATGTGTATTTTTATTATCAATTATCAGCTTTCTCAATATATCTTAATGACATCATGCAATTTAGAGAGTGTTGAATAGCACATCATTGTCATTAAATAATTATTTTGTAGATTTTTTTTCCTTTGTACTCACATACTGAATTGTGTGTGTTGTTTTGTTGTGCTTATGTTTTGCCTTTCATTTAATGTTTATTTGTATGCTCCTGCAGTGTGACACTTTTAATTTAGTTGATTCCAGAACTTGTTTCTGTTAGTTTATTGAATCTATTTGGATAATATAAATTACATTCACAGAATAGAAGGTCAAATGCGACTCATGCTAAACTCCTAAACTTCATCTAAAACTTATTTAAACAGCATTTTTTTCCCTTCAATTTTGATATAATTAGTGTGGATGCTGTTTTCATGACCTCATGTATATTGAGAGACTATATGGAACATTTGTATTTTTAAAAGTGTATTTGTCCATGTCCATTTGTCAACTATATATTCATCTAATAGCCTAGTCATTATATATTTGATGTCATATCTGTGGTGTATAATTCGCTGACTGAATATGCAGCTCTAATCTGTACATCCGTGTTTCTGGATAGCTCTGTCAGGTCATGTCAGATGTTACATCACTCTTGATAATAATGTCGCCCAAGGGAGAAATGACCCTACATGCATGGAAATATTTTTTATTGATCTTGACAGTTAATCTTTAAAACCCTGTAATGTCACCATTAATAAATAATCATTTTCTTTGTGCAAACTGAACAGCTTGGCTTCTCATTCTTCAGACTCATTTCTTCAGATCTCTTACTTTGTCTATTTGTTATTTTTACAGCCCTGCTTTGCCAATGAGGTCCAATCATTCCATGGAAGAGGAGAGATCTTCGTAGCCCCAGCAAAAACATTGTTTCTTTGGAGCGGCCATCTCAACGCTTGCTTGATTCCAAGGAAATACAGATATTTGTTTGCGTGGTGGTACATGTGAGAGGTCAAAAGTGTTTCTCCAACGCATCCTCCAGAAACTCAGACTGTTTTCCAAAGCAGACGAGTCTCAACCCTCTCCTACAGCAGTGATGGGAAGTGTGAGAACACACCGGTACAGCATAGTTTCCTCTGAGGAAGGCGGGATGAAGCTGTCCCCCATCGCCATGCAAAATGGCTACGGCAATGGAAATGTGGGCGGCAAAGTGCACACCCAGCAGCAAGCACAAACCCGCTTCGTCAACAAGGATGGACACTGCAACGTGCAGTTTATCAACATGAGTAAAAAAGGTCAACGCTACCTGGCTGACATCTTCACGACGTGCGTTGACATCCGATGGCGTTGGATGATGGTCCTCTTCTGCCTCTCCTTTCTGCTATCCTGGCTGCTTTTCGGACTTATATTCTGGTTCATTGCACTTTCATCCGGTGACTCAGAGAATCAAGAGCAGATATGCATTTCGAACATTGACAGCTTCACGGCAGCCTTCCTGTTTTCTGTGGAGACGCAAACAACTATTGGTTATGGCTACCGATATGTAACAGAGGACTGCCCCTTTGCTATCTTCATGGTGGTTTTCCAGAGCATCTTAGGATGCATCATTGATGCCTTCATCATTGGTGCGGTCATGGCTAAGATGGCCAAGCCTAAGAAAAGAAACGAAACTCTTGTGTTCAGTCACTATGCCACAATAGCCATGAGAGATGGTAAACTGTGTCTAATGTGGAGAGTCGGGAACCTCCGGAAAAGCCACCTGGTGGAAGCTCACGTTCGCGCCCAGCTGCTCAAATCCCGCACCACCGCTGAAGGCGAGTTCATCCCGCTGGATCAGATAGACATTGATGTCGGATTCGACACTGGCATTGACCGCATATTTTTAGTGTCTCCCATCACCATCGTGCATGAGATTGATGAGGACAGTCCTTTGTATGACATGAGTAAACAGGAGCTGGAAAGTTCGGAGCTGGAGATAGTGGTGATATTGGAGGGCATGGTGGAAGCTACGGCCATGACCACTCAGTGTCGCAGCTCTTACGTGACGAGCGAAATCCTGTGGGGCCATCGCTTTGAGCCGGTTCTTTTTGGGGAGAAAAACCATTACATGGTGGACTACTCACGCTTCGAGAACACCTACGATGTTCCCAGCACGCCTCAATGCAGCGCTCGAGATTTGGCTGAAAAGAAGTACATCAGGTCTAGCTCCAACTCTTTTTGTTACGAGAATGAAGTAGCCTTCATGGATAAAGAGGAAACGGAGGATGATGACGATGATGATGAAGAAGACCAGAAGAATTTCAGAAGGGACAGTGTGGCCTTGGAAGGATCCAATACTGAAGATGTCAAAAGCACAGCTTCCAGTCAGGATACTTTACCGCTACAACTCAAACCTTTAAGACAACAGCTTGAGTTATGACTGCTTTAAAAAAAAGGTGCATGGTATATGGTGTATAGCATAAGAAAATGCTGTTTTGCTGCTGTTTTTGAGGGCAATATTTTGCCAGTGGTTTGAGAGGAACACAAGTGTGGGTTGCAGATGTCTTGTAACTTTTTCTTGCGCTTGTTGTCTAAGAAGACAGATCAACAAACATTAACTTTCAAATCTACTCTGACAGTCTATATGCAATCAGTTTATAATATAGACAAGAACAGCACACATTGTAGATAATATAAACTGTGCTTCAAACCGAGGGTAGATTACACTACACAACTTTTGCACAGATTTTTGCCCGATTTACAATTTGGAGGGGTTGATGCCAAAGGTGTCCAAAGTCAGTATGTAGATCTTTAGGCAGTCAGAGATTACATATTTCAAAGAAAATGGCATAGTTTATGATGGTCACAGACAGTCATGTAATAACTGAAAGATGGTGGGGTTTTTTTCAAACTTTGATTCCATCCAGTCAGAGGACATGTTTAATATTTTGAGGCGATTTTTAAACATATTGTATTCACATAGTATGGGTAGAGCTAGTTTTCTGTCCACCATCTTAGATACTTTTTCCATTAAACATACATTTGGCCAAAACAGAGTAGGCTCCCTTGGGTTGTAGCATAATGTTGCTACCTACATACTTTGGGAAGAGCTTTCACTGAAGCAGGCCTTTGATACTGTCTATATGTAGCTCAATAGGTTTTGGAGCAGAGCTATAATTTAACAAATGCCAAAGATTTTGCAGGACACACAGTTTTGTTTGATTGTCCCTGCACACAGGCTACTAGCAGCACGTTCAGGATAATACCTTGTGCAAAAGCCATGATGAAATCCTGTCTTTAAAAGCAGAGGTGGTATAATGAAGGATAGTGAAAATGAGAACCAAATGTTTCCTTTTGATCTGGTCCATGCCATTAAATCTACAACCGAGGGACATTTTGAACATTTAAAAGTCACTGCAATGTCATGATTTAAGACAAATGAGTGAAACACAAGGTTGGAAACCTAGCCTCCATATTTCACATGAAAAAACAGGTATTTTTATGGTGGCAGGTTATGCCTATGTGAACCACTGTATGTTCGCAGATAGTTTGAAAACCTGTTAATGAGCTGGTCTCTTAACAACATGGTATTTATCTCCTCTTTCTATAAACGCTGTTCTGTATAAAATAAAATAATGTTGATATACAGTACATAATTGACTTGTGTTGGTTATTACACTCTAAAAAATGCTGGGTTGTTTCAACCCAACTTTGGGTCAAATATGGACTAACCCAACCGTTGGGTTAAATTTTTAAATTAAATTTTTAACCCAAAAGTTGGGTTAGTCCATATTTTACCCAAAGTTGGGTTGAAACAACCCAGCATTTTTTAGAGTGTATGTTATAATATCAGTATTGAAGATTAGCCATACATTTTTAATGAGAGTAAGTGTTAAAGGGGTCATATGATGCGATTTCAAGTTTTCCTTTCTCTTTGGAGTGCTACTCTAGGGCACTTAATGTTTTCATGTAGTGAATGTACCTTAAAACTCCTCAGTCCATGTACTGCATCTTCTGTGATGTCAAAAATGCACGTAACATCTCAGGGTTTGGATGAAATCTGGCATTCATGCAACATAAACAGTCAAAGAATAATAATATGTAAAGAATGTCATGTTCATAGCAGTATATGTGCTTCGGAGTATATATATACAGTATATGTGCTTTCGATGTGCAATAGATCTTCAGTGACTGAAGACGTGAAAGTTCATTGGGCATCAGATGCTTAATGAACAATCAAAAAATGAATATAAATAGGTGTTTATGTGCACAAATGCTTACTGTATTATGGCAGCAGTCTGGGAGAAAAGTCACTCTCACCTTTAAAACGAGTTCAAATCCTTAATAATCCGAGCTACAAATTTAAGTGTAGGAAGTAATATGTACCAGCTGTTGCAGTGAACGTTATCAATTCAGGTGTGTTCTCTACAGTTTAATCTCTAATGTTATTAGACGTGAAAGTTTATGAATGAAGACATGAATGTTACTTTTCTGCTGCTGAATGATAAATGCTGATAAAAGGTTAAAAATACTATTTTGTTTTGTATGACGATGTGTTACAACCAAAGCAATAATGTCTTGAATTGCTGGAAGGTTTTAAAAACCAGAAAAATTAGGGAACCAATATCTAATATAAGGTTTTTATATATAAAACTGTGACAGTAGCTATCACAATAAAACTTACCAGTGATTGAATATATCATCTGCAGTGTGATTTTAAATCAATTTGTAGTTTGCCTTGGTTTGTATCAATATCAAGGTGGACAAGTCCATATTTTAAAATGTTTGACATCATAAAATGTTTTGTCATTTTAATTAGGTCTGCAACATATTTGTATATTTCACTGAGATAACTGTATTTCAATCTCATCACAAATTATGTAATCCTAATAGATAACATTCCAGAGTATGACATCACATACACATTCAACACCTACTGTACATTTAGACAGAAGCAATTCATTCATTTTCAGACTGTAAATAGTTGTCATTGAGATCATCCAGACAAAGATTGCCTGGCTGGACTAATTTGAATCCATGGCCCTAGTTTGTGTAAACAGAGAATTGATTGGACACAGGAGATACAATGAGAGGATTGGATTTTGTTCTGCTGAAAGTCTGATTTAACCCGAGGGAATTTTCCACATTATCCATGCATGTCCTCTTTACTAGGGAGGGGGGGAAAATCAGTAAAATTACTTCATTGGGCATCAGATACTTAATGAACAAACCAAATTGAATATAAATAGGTGTTTATGTGTACAGATACTTACTGTATTATGGCAGCAGTCTGGGAGAAAAGTCACTCTCACCTTTAAAACGAGTTCAAATCCTTAATAATCCGAGCTACAAATTTAAGTATAGGTAGTAATATGTACCAGCTGTTGCAGTGAACGTTATCAATTCAGGTGTGTTCTCTACAGTTTAATCTCTAATGTTATTCTTGATGAATGAAGTCTGTTTGTGAGATTAGGATTATCCCTCTAACATGTTCTGCAGGGGAATCTATGATGCATTATGAAGTAGAGTCAATGGTTTTCAGTTCAAGCCAAACGAGTTTAAGAATTTTGCGTCAATATGTTTCTCACTCTTGAATTTGAATCGATAAGGTATCTGATTTTTGTTTGCAGTGAGTCCGCAAACAAAAGTGTTGAGTGAGTTGAATGAAAACATCAAAGACTAGGGACTTTGGTGACATGGCGCTGTGGGCTGGTAAATGTAAAAGGTGGTGCTACTGCGGTTTTAATATCGAGTCATCGAGTTACAATTCTTATTATTCAGAGATGCATGCTCGATAAATCAGGCGTAATGAAGAATGACATTCAAGTTGCAGTCCATCAATATAATATAATATAATATAATATAAGCACCAAATATTTCTCACAAGCGGAATAAACGTTTGCACTTAAAAGAGCTTGAAACATATGCGGTTCCTGTAAAACTCACGACACGATGCCCTTTCGCACGAAAAAAATAAGAACTTAAAGGGTTAGTTCACCCAAAAATGAAAATTAGGCTGTGTTTTAC